CAGACGGGCAGGCAGGCAAGCAGCCTGCGACGTGCTGGGGTCCGAGGTCACAACGCAACGCAACGCAGGTCGCAGACAGTCGAGCAGTGCGGTTGGTTGGCGATTCGCAACGCTGGCAGAAGGGTCCTTTGGGGCCGGTGTCCGGGTCAAGGTGCTCTCAGGTCGACAGGGCGAGTGAGACGACTGCGGGCGAGGTGGGTACGAGATCTTGGTTGCCCAGAGCCACCGAGAGAGCAACAACGAATTGAAAGACGCTATTGATGCGGCGAAATGGGTCAGTCGGGGGGGGGAGCCCTTGGATGGGGGGAGCTCTGTTTGCTTCAGTCGTCAGACAAATATGTGTCGCCGCCGTTGCAATGTAGCAAGTCGAAAGTCGAATCGAGTTATTCTTGTCCTTGTACCCTGTGGCCACACCGAGGTTCGCAATTGTTCGCAATTGGACAGGCTTGGGATTGTAGGAACGCAAAAAGGGGTCGCAGAACAGGATGATGAAGATGTTTGGATGGAATTGGGGCAGGGGGGGTCCGTTGTGGCCGACGATCGAGTTAATAATGTTCGTTCAGGGCCTTGGGTCGGTCGCTCTATTCTTTCGGATCTGCTCCTGCCTGTTCTTAGCTCCTAGCTCCTCCCTTCTAGCTCCTCCCTTCTACATGTAGCTCCTCGCACCTACCCAGCTCCTCTAGCTCCTCCCCCCTTCCCCTCTCTGGCTCCCCTTCACCTCCTTCACTCCCCTGGCACACACGCACAGAAGAGGCAAACACGTCCTCGGCAGACGTCTGTTCTGGGACTGGGCTGAGGGGACGGAAACCTAAACAGCGGGTCTCTCTTTTGTCCTTCATCCTCCTCGTTCTTCTTTTTCTTCTTTTTCCTCTCCTGTGGCTGGTCCTATCCCACCCTCTTCCATGTACGCCTCCACTGGCAGCCGACTACAGCCATTTGGGTAGGGACATGACCGGTCAGCCTCCGGATGAAGCTAATGCGAGAAAAAGACCCGATGCCACGAGCTCACCCGTTAGGCACCAAATGTTGACGAGAGCTCTGAGCCTGGGGGGAGAAGAGGGGGCCGGGCGGGGATGAACGGGTTGCGCTCGTGCGCGCGCTCGAGCTTCATCTAGGGAGCTAATAAAAGAGCTTCCTGATGGCGTCTGTCATCCGCCCGAGCCAATGCGATTCGGCCCATCTGTCAAAGACAGCTCACGGCCGTCGTGCTTTCTTTTCTCGACATCCTGGCGTGACGTACGAATCGTGGGTACGAATCGTGGCAGCCCCTCATTGCTTGCTTGCTTATTTTCCCGCTCGCTCGATGCTAGAACTGACATACCCGCGCTATTTCACGCTGAGAGAACTCTCCCTCGTGCCCTTCATCGCACGAGACGTCGAGATGCCCAGAATGGCATCTCAACGCGGCCCTCGTGCCAAACCCCATAGCCGCCAGGCCTATTCCCCGTCTCTCGTTACCCAGCATGCATGCAGGCCATCACTGGTGCCGCGAACCTGCGTTAGTACAGAAATCCTCGCGGAACGCCATTGGGTCACTTCAGCTTACGGCCCTTGCATCGGCTTCTGGAAACCCGCCACTCTCGGGTCATGGCTCCGTTGAGCCTTGACCCCGAGACAAACAGACAAGAACGATCGGAGACACTGCCCACTGCCCTCAGAAAGCTGGGTTGAGAGCCCGAGACACAGTTGGCAACCTTTCGCAGCTTGATCATACATGCTGCTTCATGACGTGGGTAGCTTCTACACATTACTGTCGCCGCCAGCACGTCAGATTTTAGATCGAACTCCCCGATGCGGAATCGCCTGCAGTGCCATGAACGCCTCTGTAGGGCTGGCTGCGTGCAGCACAAGGCACTGACTGAACTGCACCTCCACAGACTCCTTACCTCAAGTTCCAACGTAGATAGATGTGCAGCACTCCAAAAAAAATTTATTGGCGGGATATGTGACTCTCTGTTTAATTACCCGCACCCATTTGCCGGTATTTTTTCTGCGAGGACCATCCCAACGTCGCGACGCCCTCCGTGCGCGAAAGCGAGGGAGACTCAGCCGTGGCGATCGAACCGAGTCGTTGGGGGCATGAGTGGCGGGAACTAGGCTTACCGTCCTTCGGGCCCAGCCGTACTTCGTGCGGCATCTCAATTTTGGCCACCTTTATTGTTCACAGGCGAGTCGTGACGATAGCTGGTTCGCAGTCCAAACACCCCCTCTGTGTCCTGGTTATTGTGTCCGGTGCGGTGCTTAGGTAGAGCATGGCCCCCCTTCTTTCCCATGATTCGGGCGACCTTGCCATCCCTCATTTAGGGTAAAGGGGACCAAAATCTCGGCTTGCTCTCCCCGGCCTGTCCTGTCATGCACATTTTCCAACGGCCCAACCCACAGTTTGCGCTCCTTGTCACTGGCCGACCCTCCTCATTGCCAAGGCGCGGCCAGTAGTCCATTTCACTGCATCAGACGCTGCACCCCCCAAAACGTGAGCTGTCAGGCCCCCTGCTGAATGCATCCTTCTGAAACGGCACAATTCGCAACTTCAGTCACATATGCCACAAATCACAGCATGCGGCTGATGCCGAGCTCGTTTGCGCAAAGCGAACCCCCAGAAAACAAGTGCAAGGAACCGAATTCCTGACGAAAGAGATACCATGGCTGAAGGAACCTGAAATCAAAAACTCTGCTGCCTTCTTCACTTCCGGAGACGCCCCAAAAGGCACATGTCCTGCTCTCCCCCGCTCCTGTTCGTGACTTCGTTTCAACACGTGAATACCCTCCGCCTCGCCCGTGACCCGTTTCCTGGCCGCTAAGCCTTGGCATACTTTGCCGTCCACTCCTTCGCCGTGGCTATCGCGGCCTGCTCGTCCTCCTTCCAGCTCTTGGCCACGTCGGCGGCGAGGGGGTCGTCGGGGTTGGGCGCGCCGAGGAGCGCCTGGATGGACAGGAGGATGGTGCGTATCTGCACGGCGGGGGACCAGTTGTCTTTGTTAGGAGAAAGGGTTAACCAGGTGATTGGGTTCCCTTGCAGGGAGGAGGGGGGGGCTGGTGGGCATACTCTTGAGGACGTCGAGACAGATGCGGCCGAGCTTGTCAACGTTGGGGTGGAAGATCTTGGTGAGGAAGCGAATCTTGGGGGGCGTCATCGGGTAGTCGTCGGGAAGGAAGAGCTCGAGCTTGAAGATGCCGCCTGTAGGGGGTTTATTGATTCACGAGTTAGCCATCGAGGCAGGAAGACTGGCATGCAGGGAGGCAGGGGAGGAGAGGGGTGAGAGGTTCTCGCGCAAACGCACCTTCGTACGGAGACTGCGTGGGACCGTGGATCTCGACGTCAAAGTAGCGGAGGTTGTCCTCGTGGGGGACGGCGCTGATGCCGGGAACCCTATGCGAGGCACCTTGTCAGTCTACAATCGCTTTCGCTTGAACGCAGCAGCAGTGGGCGCATACGGCTCCGCCATGAGGCGCTCGGTCTCCTTGACGATACGCTTCGGCAAAGACATGATGTGTTTCTCGGAAAGGTTTCTACGCGGTTGCAGCTCGGGGTATGAGAAGAAGGTTCGTTCGATGCGCGCGCACGGGTGCGGTGTGTCAAGGTAGTAGCCGGTCAGGCGAGGTGGGGGAGGGGCAAGTTCTATGCGCTGACGTCGGAGAGCAGGCCGTCGAGCAAGGAAGCGTTGGCGTAGTTTTCAAAGATGTGGAAAAGAATGTCGAGACACAGTCGTGGTACGCCACCTGTCAGGGTAATATGCTGTCGTTCGTCGTGAAGCAGGTCGGCGAGGCGAGTTGCGTGGAGCTGGTATATGTGAGCGAGGTGCCGGTGGGGGAGGAGAAGGGAATGACTGATGGATGCCCCGCCTTGCATCGCTGTGGCAGTCGCAGGAAAAGAGCAATCGCCTCACTTCGCTGCCCGATAGGAACTAGGAGGTTCTTGCGTTCTTGCAGGGACGACAAGGTGCCCTGACCTTTAGCTGGTCTGTGCACCTCGAACAACAGGCGACTGTGGTTGGCTGGTGGCGCTAGGCTCTCAAGTACTTCTGCGCATGAATCTGGTGTCGAGGTACAACCGCCCTAACCACGCATCTTCATGTCAGGGACCTTCTACTCTGACGCGTGACGATCCCGTCGGAAGGTCTCACCTCAACTGCTTGTCATGGTCACCTTCAACAGCAAGCATTACTCGGATTGACCACGCACAAAGCCGGTCGCGAGCTTCCCATCGCAACTCATGTAACGGCTGCAGACCGAGATCCTCTGAACACAGCAGTTTCCGGCGTCTCGGGCCTGATTCATCAGCTTCGAACCCCGGTCCACTGCCATGATGCGAAACACATTGCTCACTCTTCCTTGAGCCTCGTCAACATGCCCTCGTTCGATCACATTGACGCTCCGAAGAAGGGCAAGCCGATCAAGTCAGCCTTTGATAGCGAGAGCTTCGATTCCGATGGCACCATACATGTCGAGGGGCTTGTAGGCTCTGCGACCATCTCCCCCTCTGGCCGAGATGTCGCGCTGGCCTCGTGAGTTCATCTTCGCGGCTGAATGGACCGAGGTATCAGTCACTAATCGCAGTTATAGACCCGAAGGTTTGGCCATCATTGATCTGGATTCGCCCTACAATCCTCCTCGTCGCCTCAGCAGTCATGGGTTGCCGTGGCTGGTCACTGACGTCCAGTGGTCACCGTTTGCAGCTCGCGACTACTGGGTTGTCTCTACGGCGAACCACCGTGCATTGGTGTGGAATCTGAACCTCAGGGACGACTCGAGCTCCGGTGCGATCGAGCACTCGCTCCAGGGCCACAGCCGCGCCATCACCGATATCAACTTCTCTGCGTATCATCCGGATCTGCTGGCCACATGCGCCGTCGACGGCTATGTACACTGCTGGGATCTACGCCGCCCGAGACAGCCAGTCTTGACATTCTGTGACTGGTTTGCCGGCGCCACCCAGGTCAAGTACAACCGACAGAACCCGCACATCCTCGCCTCGTCCCACGACCGCTGGCTGCACATCTGGGACGAGCGCAAATCCTACGTGCCTTTAAAGTCGATCAGCGCCCACACCTCTAAGATCTACGGCCTTGACTGGAACCGCACGAGATCAACCAGCCTCGTGACCTGCTCACTGGATAAGAGCATCAAATTCTGGGACTACGCCAATGATGATGACAACCCCGAACGGGTAATTCGAACCGAGTTCCCCGTGTGGAGGGCCCGTCATGTGCCGTTTGGCGAGGGCGTGCTCGCCATGCCGCAGAACGATCCAGGCGACCTTTACCTGTACAAGGCGCACCAGAACCCCAGTGCGCCAACGGACGCAGCCACGGAACCGGTCGCTGTCTTTCCTGGACACGGGAGTCACAAGGCGAAGGAGTTCTTGTGGCGTACCAGAGGAGGAATCAGCGAGCAGGGAATCGACAACAGGGACTTTCAGCTTGTCTCGTGGGGAGAGGACAATGAGTTGCGACTGCAACGGATGGATGCGGCAACTCTCGAGTCGGTTGGCTACAGGAAGGGAATGCCAGCCAAGAAGAACCTGACGCTGACACGCAAGGGCGCCACGTACAAGACTTTCCGGACTGTAGAGGACATCGTGAACCGCGACCGCCGAAGTGCTACGATGAGCGATCCCCGTCCCGGAAGTGGTGGGACACAGTACCGGCAAAGCGCCTTGACGATAAGCATGCGGACATCCTCCTCGGTACACAGCAAACTAGGATGGAAAGGCCCATCGATGAAGGCCAAGAGCACACATCGGAAGATGGATCGAAGCCAGGCCCACATCGGCTGGATGAAGGGAATCACCATGACGAAGAAAAAGCATTCATCCAACACGCCACGAGGTCCTGATGCCAGACCTCCAAACGTCTTTAGCCCTGGATATCCCGACGATGATAAATGGGGCGAGCCGGAGACGATACAAGATGAGTTTCTTCGCGTCAGCACCCAGCTGCCAAAGGTCAAATGGGACCACATTGACTGGGACGCCCTCACCCTCAACGCATCCCTCAATGGGCCCTGGGGAAGAGATGGGGAGACCATCTTCCTCAAGGTCAAGGTTGACATACCGACCAACTACCCGAAGACGAGAGCGCCCAAGTTCTTTGTGGAGAAGACAAGCTTCATGCCTGCCGAGACGCACAGGAGAATCGAACACGAAGTCCACCAGCTGGCACACCAGTTTCTGGACCGCAAGCAAAACTGTCTCGACGTGGCTTTTAGCTACCTCCTGGGAGAGGTCGATCTAGAGACCAGCACGACGTTTTTCAAGAACGTCAAGGACCTCGACGACCCCATGGACGGGCTCGCCGATGACAGCTCAAGTGAGGACAGCGACAACGACATACCGGCGGGCGGTTCGGCGTCCATGTCCCAGGACCTGACCGCCAGTACAGAAATCGATAATACCCTGACACCAAACAACCGACCAGTGATCCCGCCTCTGCCAAGATTCTGTGGTGCCCGTTTCGCGAGCGACGGACGGCTGGTCTGCTTCTTCCCTACCAAAGAAGAAAAGGCAAAAGCGTTAATGTTCATACCGCCCGAGTCAATGAAGGAGCGTCCGAAAGGCGAGCCTGTCTTTGCCTCATTTGGCCGCCTGGGGCACGACTCACCACCTCGGCGTTATGGCAACGACGAGACCTCTGCGACGGAAGAGCAGTCCGATTCGGACGAGTCTGAAAGTTCGTCTTCTTCGAGCGGCTCAGAATCAACGTCCATGCACAAGATGAACCTGTGGTACCAACCGCGACAGCGATTCAGGAGGACTTGGAGCGAGAATCGTTCGGTGCGCTCCAGCGGCGGAGGTACCGGCGTGGGCACGGGAACCGGTACTGGATCGCTAAGGAGAAGACCCGGGGGCAAACCTCGGAACATAATTACTCTCCATGATCTTTCGGAAATACTGCCCGCTAAGAGAACTCTCGCGCGAGAGTATGCAATCTTTGGCGACGGAGCCGAAGTATGCGAGCAGAATGCCAAGGTGGCCGAGAAGTATGGACACGGCGATCTCATGAATGTATGGCGCTATCTTGGTCTCTTGCTGCGGAGAGATATTCCGCTCGAGCCTCTCGACCACGATCAGCGCGACGATTCCATCCTCGTCATTGCGCGAAACACAGTCGCACGTCATCGCGGTGACGCCTCGCCAGGCGGCACGGGTCCACCTACCACGAATCTCAGCGGCCGGGTTAAATGGGGTAATCACCCCTTGGCGAAAGACTTCGTCAACAAGCTCCTCGACTTTTACGAAAGGACGGCCGATATCCAAATGCTGGCCATGCTGTCGTGCATATTCAGCGAGTCGTCCGCTGAAGACCCAGTGGCGTACGCTGAATCTCGCCTGACGCAACCTGAGACTCCACTGCCCATGAAGGCACCATCCTTTTCGTTGGACTACTTCCCGACAGATGCCTCTTTATGGGCATTGAACGGGCGAAGCCACAGCAACTCGGCGATCACCACGCCAAGGACTATTCACACACCTATTCATTACTCGGGCTCTCAGGGTTCGGAGGACAACATCCTCTGGGCCGGCGATCCAGGCTCGAATTCGTACTCTTGTGGGGAGACTCCGCCAACCAAGGGTCGAGAGCAACACCTCGACCCGGATCAGCCGCGAAGCCAAAATCAGAGCCAGGCGCCGAGCCTCTCGACTTCCCCCAGCGGTCGTATGGTGTCCAGGGTGAACTCTGGTCTGACTTCCAGCTTCGCCATCAACTTTCCCCGCACGTTCGCGGTCGGCATGACGGTGGCCTCTTCACCGCCACACCAGAACAAGAAGCGACCAAGTCCTGCCGAGACGATATTAAGCACACTCGCGCCTCACAACGCGATTGCCAATGTCACATGGGGCGGCTCGACCGTTCTGGGAGATACGGGCACTGCGCGAACGTCGGTATCGGACGACGAGGGCTTCAGGGAAGAGTCGACATCGCTAGTGCCGATAGGGGTGACGGTCCACATGGAAGACCAGACAATTTTCGACGACGATGGTTGGATGTCGAGGCCACTGCTGACACCAGGTCGTAGCGACATGTACGCCGTGTATCGATATGCCTATGCCGAGATCCTCCAAATGTGGAACCAACCGCTCGCGAGGCTCGAGATTATGAAGTTCAACACGCTCAAGGAGGACTTTGACTCCAGAGCAGATCGCAGCAGCCTGCACGATTCCTTCAGCGTCCATGATAACACGACGCTTACTTCGCACCACGGCATGCCCAATCACCAGCTACATGGGCCTTCCCCCATCCTTCTTGGGCGCAAGGATCAGCTTCAATCTCTGATTGCGTCGGATCGCGGCCTCGACGTCACAGGCATCTGTCGGATCCACGAGATGCAACTCGAGTCGCTCAAGTATACGACGGCGTTTGCGACACGGCTGGGCGGGGCGGTCGGCGTGTGCGACAGATGCCACCGCACGCAGGCGCAGCTTCTTTGCGTTTTCTGCCACGAGCCGGTCGACGCGCTGTTCCTGCCGTGCCTCGGGTGCGGATGCGCGAGCCACGAGTCGTGCCTCGCCGAGTGGCACGCGCAGGGCGAGCAGCTGTGCCCGGCGGGCGACGAGTGCAACTGCGTTGAGGAGGCAGCGAACGGCCAGGTCGAGTCGTGGGCAGCCATCATGGCGGCGGTGCGCAAGGGAGGTCACCAGCGGGCGCCGTCCTTGGAGGCCACGTCGGCATCGTCAATGTTGCCGGCGTCCGCGCTTGAGGTGACGAGGGGGCCAGGCCACCCCCTCCATCACTTGGACAGCGAGAAGGGATGGGAGAGCGTCGCGTCGAGCGAGGGCATTCCCAGCCGAATGCAGGGGTTCGGTAACGGCAGCAACGCGGTCATGAGTGCAGCGCGAGCAAGCTTGGGAAACCGACTCAGAAAGGCGGGAGACTGGTCAAGGGCGTCGAGCATCAGACGGAGAGATGATGGGTCCTCGGGGAGCTGGCGGAACGTGGCTCGAGATGCGTAGCTTGGCGAGGACGAGGACGGGTCCAAGGTCATGTCAGCTTGATGTTTGTACCATGTAGTAGGAATAGTGTATACGTACTTGTGTCCTGGACGGACCTAGTGGGTGCATGGATCAAGGACGATGGTCTGTTTCTTGGGTATGATGGTGTTGCTATTGCTTTTGTGAGATATCCCAGAATATATGACGCTCTTGTGCCATACATTGGTTAAGTCCAAGACCTCGGGGTCAACATACGATGCTCTTGCTCGTGAGGGTGCGTCTGACTTTTTCGAGCATGTCTCCCAAAAGAATGATCTTGTCGCTTGAAGATACTAAAGAGACGTAAGGATGATATCTTCATTCACTTCCTGGGCATCAATAGTTTTGGGAGGGGCTCGCTTGGGGCAGTGAATCATAACCATCTGCATTCACCGGCCTAAGTTATCATGAGAGGCAACAACCCAATTCGCGCCTTCCAGAATAACTCCCCCCAAGAATATTTAGAACGACTTCTTCACGCCCGCGTTCTCTCTTTGACCAACTATCGTCAACAACAACAGGTTTACCTACCCATCCTTATCAGACGCCATCATTACCCCCAAGTTTTCCACGTCCGATATCAATCAAGCTTCACTCACGATACTCACTGCATCAACCAAGATGCCACTCCCTTTCTTCCGTCGGGCTGTGGCTCTGGCGGTTGGTACACTCATGTGTCTCGTCTTCTTTTGCGAGGCAGCCACGATTCCCGGTGGCATCCAGCATCTCCAGGCTGACGCCCTTCATTCGGACGTCACTCTGATTTTTGGTGGTGTTCCTATTGACAATCTTGGACTCACCGGAAAGAACAAACATGTTTCCAACCGTGTCACCAATGACGACCAGAACGAAGCTTCCACCAGCAGCCTCCCCTCTCGCATGACCACCTCAAAGGCCGACGAACACCTGATGGACTCGTACATGCGCACCAGTGATGAGGACTTCAAGCCCCAGTGTAACTGGCCGAAGGGGTCCCTCAGCGGCATCTCCATGTGCATCGACACCCTCTCCCGGGTGCCCGATCAAGTCTGGCAGGCCCGTGTCCCCGTCGACATTTGCGTCATCCGTGGTGAGCATGTCTACATCACCATTCGCGGCTCGGCTTGGATTGGGGCCCCCGGCGGCGCCCACGCCACGAGCCTTGAGATCATCACGGCCCTCGAGTGGATCAGCGATCAGTGCACCAGCTGTGAAGGACTTGATTGCTACGCCGGTGGTGCCAAGGCCGTTGGCAAGAACAACAAGTTCATCGTCAAGGTCAACGGCAGGAACAGGAAGGACGGTACAACTGGCGAAAAACGCGACGAGAGTGCTCAGAATACCAGCAAGGCCAACAACAGCAACGAGACGCTCTCCAAGCGGTCTTCTGATGAGTGGGACTCTTGCTCCTGGCCAAGAGGTCCCGTCAAAGCCCTCGTCAACAAATGTATAGCCGACCAGCGACGCAACCCCAACAGGCTGTACCAGACGTTGGACTTTATTGAGATTTGCCGCGTCGAGGGCACTGAGATGGACGCGGAGGGTAGAGTCGAGACGCTTCAGATTAACGGGTTCGTCAAGGAGGGCGCTGCCTGGGCGGAGGCCAGCGGCACAGACATTCTGGAGGCCCTGGACTGGATGCGCGACCGGTGCTCGACGTGCCGCGCCGCGCGTGACGACTGCTACGTCGGCGGCTTTAAGGCTGTTGGGCCCAAAGATGACTTTATCGTACAGGTCGTTGGCGGCAAAAAGGAAGATCGACTTGCAGCTCGCGATGCCGGCGAGAAGTCGACAACCGCCACAAGAGAACTCGCCAGGTACATTCCCGATGAGGAACTCATCAACATCGGAGCCAAAAAGGCTCAGGCTGACGTGTGCACTTGGCCTCGCGGGCCCATGACTTCGGTCCTCGAATGCATGGACCAGATGAAGGTTGATCCGGAAAAGGTGTTCAAGACCTCTGACTGGGTCAGGATTTGCCGCATCCAAGGAAGCCAAGACCGGCACATGCTGAGCATCTATGGTTACGCCAGGGATGGGCACGCCGAGGGCGAGGCCACGGCCGAGGAGGTGTACCAGACGTTGCGCTGGGCCAAACGTTACTGTACGAGCTGCCATGAACCTCACAAGAATTGTTATGTTGGCGGCTGGTGGCTCACGGGCAAAAAGAAGAACATGGTGGTCCAAATCACGGGCAGCGCCCCGCACAAGGACGCTCGCTCTCTATTCCTAGATGCTGGCGAAGACGCCAACCTTCGGAGCCTCTCGCCCGCCTCTCCTGCCATCGAAGCTGTCCCCTTCCACGAGATTCCTGCGAAGGACAGTGCAGGCGAGGAACAAGACGACACCCCGGCCTCTCTCAACAAGCCCATCATCTACAAGTACAACGACCTCACGAGCAACACGACGCAGTACCTCTTCGGCCCCAACCGTGAGCCGCTCGAAGCCACGACGGACCTCACCTGGTCTGACGTTCAGCAAGCTGCCTCGGCCCTGACGCCCACCTCTCGCGTCGCCTACAACGCACAGCTTCTGAGCGCCGACGCCCTCAACCCGTCCCCCGAGTGCCACGCGAACCAGGTCCCGACCAAGGGCACCTACGCCCAGGCCTGTCTCGACTTTCTGTGGGCAAACCGCGACAACACGTGGGACATGCCTAAGAAGACGGAGGTTGACATCTGTGCGGTGCAGGTGCAGACCGTACGCGCCGGGGAGGACGGACAAGGAGAGGCCTGGAAGGACGTGTTCCGCATGTACGCAACAACGTGTGCCTGCCAGAAGGGGCTGAAGCTCCAGGCTGGTGCCGCCGCTGCGGGCTTACAGAGGCTCATGGACACGTGCAGTCAATGCAACGATGGAGGCATGTGTCAGGTTGGCGCAACACTGCAGTTTGAGGGTAACCTCGAGTTGAAGCTGCATGTTGTGTCGTACAGCGAGAAGGTTGAAGAGCCTGCTGCGAGTGGTGCATGAGTTGACAAGTCACAGCACACTGCGAAGCAAGGCATGGTGACGCGGCACAAGGTTGCCAAGCATGAGAAGTCTGATTGGGTTAGTACTGGACTTGGGATACTTCTCTCCCATGAGCATCAGGTGAAGCGGCAGACGGAGAGGAAGACGTGCACTCCATGATACAGACAGCAGAGAGACAGTGGACCAATGAGTGAAATGCAAAGAAAATACAGCACCGGAGATGCCATGACAATGACAAGGATATGAACTCTTGACACGAGTGTTTGTTTGTCGCGCAGCTGAGAGACTGACTACTAATCACTTGCTCCTCTCCGAGGCACTATTGCCAGTCGATTTCGAAAAAGGCCGAAAAGAAAAACACCACGGCGACGCCGGCGACGAAGCTCGCTTCATGGCCCCGATCCTCGGGACATGCGGCCATTCTACTGCAAAAGGCTGACTCGCAATGGCCTCAGCTCTGCTCCAGCTCGGCTCCAGCTCGATCACGACATTGGAATGAGGGCCCCCTCCCTCTCTCTCTCTCTCTCTCAGAAGCCAAGCAAGGGACGACAGGAGGTACGAATAAGCATCGCAGCCACACAAAGCCATGCCGATGAGCCCTTACCCAACTCTCTCTAGCAGCACCCGTCAGCCATGGGTTGGTCCGGGCCACTCGATTGCGCGACCATGAGCCGGCATGAGGTGCTGCAGCACGCGACCCCTGGCCCCTGTCTGGCGTGGCCTCCAATTCGTCCCTCTTGGCGGGTGCCCATGATGCACTCCTCATGATGCTCCCTTCTCTCGGCCCCTCACGAGCACACCCACTCAGTCGGCTTCTGGCAGGTGAACGGCGATGGGGTTGATAAAA